ACTCAACGGCTCTCTTTGCGCTCTTCGAGTCCATCGACCGCCAATTCCTCAATCTTCAGCGCACGGTCGTCCGCGAATCAGACGCCCAGGAACGCGCAGAAGGCGAGATGCTCTCTTCGCTGTGGACGCGCGTGCTAGGCCCCGATGCCGCGGCTGTCCGCAAATACGAGAAGAACAAGAAACTCCTCGCGAATGTCCGCAGTCGCACCGTCGCCAATAAACACCTCCTCGTTGACCACCGCGGCCGACTGCTCACACTGAAAGTTAATCTTGAGACGCTGCGCAGGAAGCTGGTGAGCCCGCTTGTGCGACGGAATGACTCTGTTAGCTTTGTCGGCTCGATTGACGGGGGTGGGGGGAGTGGGAATGGGAATTCTGGGTCTCCCGGCCGCATGCTTGGGCCCGTTGAGGCTGTTATCGATGGGCAGATCCGTGGGTTGGAGGGGACGTATGATTATCTGCGGACTGTCCGGGAGAGACAGAAAGCGAAGCTTATGGAGCTTGTTTATGGGGCCGGGAGGAAACCAAGTCGGGCTATGATTGATGGGTTGGAAGGGAGGGATGATGATGAGTGAAGGCCTGTGGTCCTGATCTTGTTTATTATCTTTTGCTTCCTTTGGCCTCATTTCTTGTCTTGGCATAGCATCCTGTGTTTGATTGGTTTCTTTTGTCTCTCCTCTCTGGCGTTCTAGGGCATATGTGGCAGGGCATCCGCGGCTGCGGGCTTTTCGTGGTAATTGGTGGTTTACCTGCTGTGCCTCTTTGAATGACTGCTTTGGTCTTTTTTTTGGTTCTGGATTTCGTGGCGAATAGGCAGGATTGCGAGGAAAAGGGATAGAAACTTGTGGCGCCAGCTGGTTTGATTTCACTTCATGGCGCCGTGCAATTATGGGTTTCTTTTGTGGATGTATGAATGAATCTTCTTGCTGTTCATAGTCATTGTCCTTTTGCAAATTTCATATATAAGTCCCTGATTATACATAGGAAAGTCCTCTGTGCTGTTTGTGCTTCATACGTGATATTGTCGTAGTGTGATAGGCCCGACATGGCTTCTTTGTATAGCCAATAGTAATCCTTCTAGCTATAATACCGAGAAAGAAGATATGTACATACGGAAGATATTTCAAAAGACATTCCAAAAGAACTCCCAAAAAGAACATCCAAAAAGAGGATTGGATTGTTATTTTACATATAACGTCCTGTATATCATCTTGGGCCAGATAAATCAGACTATTAGAGTCCTACGTCGTTACTGACCTCGCGGCTGACTACACTTGTTTCCTACACGTCCAGATATAAAAGCAAACTAGATCTTCCATTAGTTGCTTTTGTTCTTTTCACTGATAAACCTCCTATTCAAAAGCAAAATCGAGATTCATGGACCCAGCCCGATAGCCATGGCTATGTATGTAGACCGCCCTAGATAGAGCCAAGCCAAACTTGCCAGGTTCGAGATGATTCTCATTCAAAGGAAATCGTCGGGCAGAAGCTCCGGAGATGGCCACCCAGGTCTAGAATAGGTTAACCACTCCCTAACATTTTTTGTGTTCTTCCCACAAGAGACTACCAGATGAACAGGGACGCGCTTGAAAATGAAACCCTGCACCCATGGAAAAGGCAAAGTCCGGTACTCAATCGGGGCGCGTTGTCCATTTGAACCATAAGCATCAGATTTGTCGTGCACCATCATGATATCGTGGGTTCTCTGCATCTCTTCCTCGGTTAATCGATTCGTGAGAAAAACTACAAGCCATGGGCAATACCGTCTCTTTGTCTATTGAAGTTGCTTTGACAAGCATGGCTGATCTGCATTCCAAAGGAACTCTCTTGGGCCCTCGGGACGGACATCATAATTGAAATCACCCGGAAAAGGAGTCCTGATATGGCCCGTCCTTCCTATTCGACACAGATATCGCGCAGACGCATCCGAGAGTGAAGTCGTTGTTTGCTCTTCGGATTCTTCCTGTATCGACTCCAGGTGCGTGATCGGTGCGATAATCGAAGGAGACCGCCCTCTTGTCAGATATAACTTTATCTCTCTGCCACTCCCGCAGAACCCTCGACACACACAAAGACATCGAAGGGAAAAAAGAAGCAGTCCCCGGCGATTATCTCACCGATCACGCACCTGGAATCGGTACACGAAGAATCCGACGAGCAAGAATCAGCGAGACTTCCTGTTCCTAGACCTGCTTCAAACGATTCCGTGCAAACGGTAATCGCGCTGTATCCGAGATCTAGGAATCTGCGCCAAGTTGATATCGGAGAGAGGCTCGCTAAGATGAAGCAAAGCCGCACCGCTCGAAGTTCCCTCGAAATCAGTATGCCAGGGATGGTATTGCTTCCAGAAAGCCAAAAGCTCTCGCTGGGTCCTGAGGCGGTGTCGATCATATGGGAACCAGTTCCACGGTCATTTGGGGAATTTCGGTATCCTAGGGCTTCGGACGATTGTATTTATTATCATTTTCCCAGTCTGTGGTTTATTTTTCCATAATTGAGGGGAGTGCATCTTGTATTGTCTTTTGTGTGTTGTGGATCTCCTCTGTTGTGGTATGGTAGAGGACAAATATGAGGAGATGTCTTTTACCTGGATGGCGATCCCAAACAGGCATCGTTATAGGGTTGCGGTACGTATTTGAGATGTTGATTGGGAGCTCCATAGGTAAAGAGGGACGTAATGCTATTTTGTCAGTAAAAGCCGAAATTCGCCACGAGTCTCAGGCGTGCAGGAGGTGCCATGTAGCTTTTCGCCAAACTAGATGGCCGCGAGGCGCGAAAAGCTAATAGCGAGGGCTAGTTTACGAAACGATCTAGGTTATTCAAATTTTTGATAACTTAGATTACAAATCCCGCGAAAAGCGGACGCTAATACCGAAATCAGAGTATTACCCATATATAGGCAAGCTTGGGGCATGCCCGGGTTGTACCTTGGGCAACTATCCCGCAAAGGGTAGTCACTGCGCCCTAGGTATCTTCTCCAGGTCCACCAGGTCGAGTAGGCCTCTCCGGTATACAGTATAAACTTGAATTATAAATCGCCCTCGCACTAGTCTATTGTGGAAGTGAGAGCGCGCAAATGAAATAGAGTTACACCCATTCATGTCTTCCAATTACGAAGCAACAGGCCACAGCTTTCCATGACTAGCCAATGCGTCAACCCGATAACTCCGATTGCACTTACTTTATTCTATACTCAAACTCTCATGTTCAGAGGATCAGGTGATCTTAACTATAATGTATAAAAGAAAGGCAAGTAGGTCGCAGGTGAAAGTAGAAACGAACATCTCCGCGATATTTTCAATTTATTCTCATTAATCTGAAAGTATATCAGAGCAACATGTCGAATGCCCGCAAGATCATCTTGATCACTGGTGGAACTGGTTTCATCGGAAACCACACAGTTTCACAGTTCCTCTCGAACGGGTATCGAGTTCGAGCGACAGCACGAAACCAGGATACATGTGACCGGCTCCTGTCTATCCATTGGAAACACCGGGATTCGCTGGAAACGCTGATCGTCGCTGATATCACAAGACCCGGGGCCTTTGATACGGCCGTTAAAGATGTTGATGGAATTCTGCATATGGCCTCTCCATTCACGTACAAGATCACCGACAACAAAAAGGATTTGATCATACCAGCCATCAATGGCACAAAAGGGATCTTGCAAAGCACGGTTTCTTTTGCGCCTCAGGTGAAGCGAGTTGTTTTGACTTCTTCGTTTGCCTCAATTGCCGACTTTTCGAAGGGTCTACAACCGGGACATGTGTATGAGGAATCGCAGTGGAGTCCTCTGACCTACCAGGCAACGAAGGATGACAAGAGAGGTCTTGCTTATGCGTAAGTCGATTTTCCTGTGTTCAAAATTACTGGCCATTTGCTAACAAATTCAACAGAGGCAGCAAAAAGCTCGCGGAAGAAGCAGCTTGGCAGTTCGTGGAAACCTCGCCCAGCGTGAATTTCTCTCTCGCAACCATTAATCCGACCATGGTATACGGCCCAGCGTTCCCTGGATCAGCAAGTCTCAAGAATCTGGGCCAATCTATGTCAGAGATATATGCGCTCATGAACGGATCTCTGACTGAAGTCCCACCCACCATGTTGCCTGCCTTTGTGGATGTTAGGGATGTTGCGAGAGCCCATCTTCTGGCGTTCGAGACAGACGAGCCACAGAGATTCCTTATTTCCGGAGGCGACTTCGACAAGCAGAAGGTCTGTGATCTGCTCCGAGATCAGATTCCCGAATTGAAGAGTCGGGTGCCTGTCGGAAACTCAGGGAAGCAAAGCGTTGGTGAGCACTACGAGGTTGACTGTTCCCGGGCTAAGAACGTCCTTGGAATCGAATTCCGGTCCTTTTACGAAACCTTTTTGGATATGGGTCACGCCTTTATGGAGATGGAGAATGCCGAAAAAGAGCCCTCTCTTTGAACAAGGTTATCTAGAAGGGCAGCAGAAAATGTTGTTTTAGGTTACTTAGCTCTATTGTTGCCAAAAATCCCTTTGCTTTAGATTAGATATTTGGTTTTCACTTTTAATCGATACTGCTCTTTTGCCTCTTACATCGTTAGGGTGCTTAAATTTTCGCAGGTTCGACTCTAGAGAAAGATGGATTCCAAGGTCCTGGCAACCTTGGTTACCTCTACTTATAATCTTTCAAATACATGGTTTAAAGTCTAAATAATGTGTATCACTATACCATTAGAAATCCTAAAAGACACATACTGTCTCTCAGGCATGGAAATAGCCAAAATTAAGCTTGTATTCCTCCGTTGATGTAAGAGTTTTTGACACTTTCTCTGTTCTACATGTCAAATACAAAATGTGACTCTAAGCTGGGCTTGAAAGATATCCACAAGTATACCAAAGAACAAAGGACATGCTAACGAAGTCTTGATTTATCTAGTGATGATACTAGACAAGACAGAAGTTTGAGTACTGGAGCTAGAATATAGACTAACATGGGTCCATCTACACTGGATTCCTGATTGGAGTTTCCATAATCAAATACGCCCCTTTGAGAAGGAAGATACCCACTGGGTGACCGTCATAAGCTGGTCTGCGATCACGGGCCAAACCAGATTGACTGCTGCTTTTTCCAACTCAATCGAAAATGCCGCAGTTGCATCAGTACTGATTTCAAAGTTAAATCTCGTCACAGGACCTTCAGCCTTTAATATCAGAAGTAGATTGAAACTCACATCAAAGTAACATGGAAGCCACTATTCAAATAGAACGTATTCTTAGTAAAGTGTCCAATCAAAAGGTCGGGTAGATGACGAATACACACATTTCGCGAGCAGCACGCGCAGTTGCCTCTACACATGTGTTGGTGGTCAAGCCTGCCAACACAATATGAGTGATGTCATGCTGCCGGAGTTGATACTCCAGGTCGGTGTTCGCAAAGGAACTGGCATTATATGAATTAGTATCGTCCTCTAGACAGCAGAAGGATTCAAATAAGATTGGTCTTCCAATACTCACCTGCTATTCCAGTGTCGAGAGACAACTACATCTCCATTGCTAGGCTGAGGTTCTAGTTCTTTCAGGATCTGGCCACCAAACTCTTCCGAAAAGGCCACATTCTGTTTAATTCGAATCTGCGACTCATTCATGTGGTTCCAGCCCGAGTAAGTTCCATCCTTGGTGATTTGGTGAAGACCATAGAAGATAGGAATGCGGGCTTCTCTTGCGCCGGCAACCAGCTCTTTCATATGTTCGAGGGAGTTGGACGACTCCAAGCTAGCCTTGATAAGAGGATACAACTTTCCATCGGGATGGAGGAAGTCATTGAGCGGATCAATGAGAACGACAGCGGTACGAGGGCTCATGGTTGCAAATGAATGAGTAAAAAAGTATGTTTGATGCAAAGCAAGTTAAACTAGTGTACCTGGTCTTCGCTCTTATATCCTATCCCTCAATGGTTGATTTATAAGAGCATCGGTGTTCGGTATTTGATCATTGAGAGTCACAGGGAATGATTATTCAACGAAAAGGAAGACTGCCCAGATTACGTATGAGTTGTGTAGAGGAAACGCCAGAGAAATATCGATCATCGGGCGCTGTGACTTCCCTTTTGGGACTAGTGTGGCGAATGGGCGGAATCCTGGGGTAGCCGTGGACAACACAGCCCAAAAATCATTCTACGTGGTGTAATGCTTCCTAAAATTTACTCCGAATACATATTTGGCAGTCACTGAGCCCCCTCTTGAAAAAGAATGGCCCACATTGGGGACTCTCAGGTTGTCTGCTAGCCTCCACGTTGCGCCATGCCGCTTTACCCGGGAGCTTCTCAAGGATGTGATGAATGCCGCCGACGCCGCAAGAAGGTATGAACATTGTTCCGTTCCTAGAGTGATACACTTGGACTCTGTATCAATGCTGAAAACAATAAGTGTGATCTTAAAAAGCCTGAATGTCTTCGGTGCAGCAACGCTAGTATCAAATGTAGCGGCCCGAAAGATTCACGGACGTTCATCCATCGGAATGCTGCAAATCTGACCCAACAGACTGATAAAAAAGCGCTACTCTACGCATTACAAAATAGGAGAAAGTCGAAGTCAACAGCCGCCGACTTTGAGAGCTCAAGTAGCTTGGATGATTCTCCATCCCGAAGAACTAAGCTAGCTGCCACTGAGCCAAGTCCGCCCTCTGATATAATCTCCATTGATTTTCCTGGGCGCCTGATGTTCTTGGCATTGATTGAAGACTTTAAACCTGTTTCCCAGGGGGGTATCTTCAGCGGCGATCGAATATCGCGAGACGACCCCATTTATTCGAGCGCAGCTGTGTGCATTCGAGCCTTACTGCCGCTCACATCTTTGCGGATTGACTCGCTCAATTTGCCTATCTTCAGTCTTCTCACGACTTATATGGGAAACTTGAAAAATGATACGAAGCTAGCACAACTCGCACAGTCAGCGTACATGTCCGCCTTGAAAAATTCGCGTCCACATTTCCAGAAGGTCATAGGGAATGGCCAACCCTGTGTTCAACCAAAGGCCAACCTTGAATTGATCTTGCTACTAGCTATAGCTTTCCTGGCCTTTGAGGTGAGAATCAGGTCCATAAATGAAAAACAAGTTTCACTTCCTTTCCTGACCGCTGTTTCTAGTTCGTGAACGAAAATGAATACTCAGACGCAGCTCTTTTGGCCCACATAGGTGGTGTGTTAAGCATATTAGAGCTCTATGGACCGCACAATTTCTCTTCGCCACAGATGCGACAAGCTTTTAGTGGATTTAGGGGGATCTTTGTACGCCTTCAGTATTCACTGCTCTTGCTTCCGCTGACGATCGTACAGCTTTCAGTTAGACTTAGCAAACATATTCCAACCTTCCTAGCAGATTCAGATTGGATACACCTCCCATTTCTGAATTTTCGGAAGACCAGAATGGAGCTTCTTCACGATATTGCGTTGCAGATACCATCGCTCTTTTACCAAACAGATCGATGGTTTGATCGGCTTGAGAATTCTGCTTCCAACAATCCCAACCGCCGAGAAATCTCAGACTCTCAGATGCAAAATCTAGAAACCGCTATCTCGCTTTTAAATGATCACTGGGCGGTCTTTGATCAGATGGAAGAGTGGCAAAACAAGTGGAAAGCTTCCGAACAAGGCCCCCTGTATTGGCATTCTGATATCCCAATGCCTAGCATGGTGATTGACGTTGACTCAGTTTGCATACCTTCATTCCCAGATGAAACATACCAAGTCCGCTTCCAAAATACCCAAAAGGCAGGACTTGCTGTTACCTTCTGGTCCTTTCGTCTGGAACTTCTTATGGGAATGATCAAACTCCAGCGAAGCTTACTCGGCACTCAGGTTGAATCATTGGAACAGAACCTGGCCATGGCCGAAGAAACAGCTTGTCTGATTCTACAAATCGCGCCATACCTTACATGTTGTTTTGAGGGTGCAGTGGCTTCAAAGGCACCGCTTCGGACTATAACGAGATACTTTGAGCTGCGAGCTTTGGAGCAAGACTTCGATTCACCATCAACTAGCATTAGAGCGTGAAACGGGTATCTCATTCCCAGTCTCTATCCCACGGGTGTTGCTCCAGTCACGGTGACTGGAGTTAGGGTTTTGGTCTTTACTATGGGAGAAAATAAGTGGGTCCACGGTGACTGGAGAGGCTATATCAACCCCGATTAGTCTGAAAATTTCAGAAGTAGTATTTAAATAGCTGATTTATCCCCAATCTGCTCTGGAGCCTGCACAGACTTATATTTAGTGAGATATTCGCGATTGAAATTCGCCTTTTTTTTTTTAATAGGGAATCCAAAGTGGGTCCAATTTTGACTGCGAAGGTAAAGTCAACCACTCCTACGCTATTGCAGTATGGAGCTTCGACGCTGGAGACGTTCCGTCAATATCGCGCTCCTTTATAACACATGTGAATGTTGGCCAATTTGAACAGAGTTCCTAAGCTTGAGCATGGCTTTTCCAAGAAACACATCACAAAAATGAAGAGACAGATACACTGATCTCGCATAATACCAATATCAAACAGATCAAATCACACATAAGCCAGAGCTCTTTTTCTGCTTTGCCATCTCAACAAAATTAAGCCTATATCCCATCTTCCAAAATCAGGCCAGTTCATTCCCACAACCTCTATATCAGTATTTTGATGGCACTGCCAGAGCATAAAATCGCTCAAACGGTATACCCCGGACGTACGTATCAGAAGGTCCAGCGGCGGGAACCCCATGAACATATTCTCTGTCAAAGTATTTGCCGTGAGCTTGCCAGGGAAGCCAGAGTCAGCAACGGTCTCCCTGATAGCAGAGGCAATCTCATCCCTGCCAGTATAAGCGACACATATATTCACAACCTTCCCTTGGTTATTTTTTGTAGCATTCATAGTCCTGGAAATAGCCCCTAACACATTGTCTTCTAGCAATTCCAAACGACCCAATACCCGGACTCTAAGATTATGTTTCTTCACCAATTGATCATTCTCGCCCATTTCTCCAAGTGTCCCTTCTAGCAACTTCATCAGAACATCGACCTGCTCTTTAGGTCTGTTGAAGTTTTCAAGGCTGAAGGCGTAGAGGGATATAACATTGACTCCGCAGTCGAAGCATGTATCCAGGGTCTGTTTCCGGTGTTATCTTAGTAACTGATAACCTTGGAATATTTAGCATGATAATTTACCTTCACTAGAGCTTTTGCACCAGCCAAATAGCCCTCTGCGATCGAAATGCCGTTCTCCTTTGCATATCGTCGGTTTCCATCCATTATGAACGCTACATGTCGTGGGATAGGACCTTGGGCTAAGGTCTCCATTACGAATTGGTTGACATGTATGAAAGCATGCTCCAAGGCTTTATAGAGGAGATGGAAGAGGTGCATTGTATCAAGTAGGAGATTTAAGGAAATTTGAACAATATATTTTTGCTCGAGGGGTTTATACGGAGCTCGAGCTTCATTCCTCGAAAAATCCGCAAAAAGGTCTCACAAGCTACTGGTATGTACATGTATAATTTTAGACTGTCGTACTGATTGGCTAAATACTTGATAATATCTAATCGCAGAGACTTCTGATACGTGATCATGTCTAAATTAGCGTCCACGGGTTGTTCATTCGTTCCATGCATATACCAACGTTATCAAGAGCATCCAGTATGATTTGGCTCATTAGATGTCTCAATTAAACTCGGGTGCTACAAATAGATTATCCAGAAACAGTTCATCTTCTAAACTCAACTAGTCTTTAAAAGTGAGATTGCCTTACTATATAAACTACTTTGTGGGTTAGCTATCGACATATGTAGGAAGACACAGAAAAGCAAAAGCAACCGATAACGTCCAGGGCCACAAAAACGACTACCTAATCACTACGGTGTCACTGGTGTTACCCTATCCTGCCCTCAGGTATGACTCTGCGGATTGGCTTGTGTATGTGGTGTTGTATCGAGAGATAGTGTACCACTCCATCACGAATTCCAGGGTCCGATGGGATTGGTTACTGTTTAGAGGCGCTTTCCTAAAGCTTGTCGGCATTTCGGCCTAAATTTCGCTTGCGATACATCAGGTTCGTATCTTCGTTATGCTCTTGTACTTCGTGTTCTTCATGTACTTCTTGGATTATATAGATCATTATTTTCGGTGGTTGCCGAATATTCCGGCCCATGAAAAGAATGATTGCAATTTAGTATGATTAGTTTAATAGACTGGCTACATGTTATTGGTGCAAAGTCGACTTCCCGTATGGATTTGCGGCAGAAGAAGAAGGGCGAAAGGAAAATGAGCTGGACAAGGTCAAGTAGATTGGGGTGATGCAAAACGAAGCATATGGGCATCTTCTAAGCTGTCAATTTACTGTATTATGTACTATGGACGAGGAAGACTAGCAGTTTTCCAGGAAAATGACTAATTATAGGGTCTGAAATATATTAGAGAATAGTGATCTACCGAGCTCTAGGGTCTCATTACAATAGGAATAAAGTGTCCATCCACTGGAGACGGTATTTGATTGCCCTTCTCCTGGCCTATGCCTTCTCCTGGCCTATGCCTTCTCCTGGCCTATGCCTTCTCCTGGCTTCTGAACAAACTCACAGTCACATATGCCTCAATCATGGGACATTTAGCAATTCTGGTCTCTCTTTCACACCCATAGCCGCTCTGTAGTGCGAGATGATATTGCATAATGTTCAGCCACGTATGATCAACTTTTCATTCGTCACAATCAAGTGTAACAATAGTACGAGTCAACAATGACCTGGAGACCAAGATGTTTAAATTCAATGGCTAGTCGAAGCTTCTCTCGTACCTATCCCAGGCGTTGGATCGAGAAGACCTCCGCTTTCTGGCAGGGCGGATGGCTTTTTAGTTGGCATAGATTCGTCCTTCTCGCATAGTATATAGAAGAGGTCAAGCCGCCGATTGAAATATTCTATCTGCCCCGTGGAAATTCGAAGCGGTCCCGAATCTCAAACATGTCACATAGCGCTGCGCACGATTCACTCCCATGCGGGGGCGGGGCAAGGGCGTCCACATTGAGTTCACTTTAGTCTTCATTTTGATAACTTGAGGTGGGATGATATGCGATACGTTTGGTCAGGAGAGCGAAAGGTGGAATGAAGTATGGCCGAGAAAAAGCAAACGGGACTTTTGTTGGTTGCTGAGTAGGAAATTTGACTGAGATCCAGCGATACCGAACGGCGAGTATCAAGGAGAGCCACAGGATATTCGATGTTGTTGTAAAGGGGAGAAGTGCTTAGGTTGAGCCTGAATCTCCTGTCCACCAAAATAGTCACAGCTGGACGAAGGGATGACTGGACTCTAGCCCTGAAAGTATTCCCCAAATGTAACCCCCTTCGATTCTGTTATATGATCCCATCTCCCATGGATGCCTGTTTCTACAGGCTTGCTTTCTTGCAGACTGAGCGCTTGTTTGCCAGATTCAGGGAATAAACACCCTACTCTTCATAGATTGAATACACAGAGTTTCTTCTTCCTCCTCTCTCCCCGATCTCCATAGCAGAAGCTTCAAGAGATTCGTTTACCGCGACCACCATATGAGGGCTTCCCAAAGGCTGTTTAATAGATGGGAATATATCCTAGTCCCATCCCATTGGAATCGGTACTTGTAGAGTTAGCAGAGAGTTTTCATTGTCTGGAAGGTGTCTCTTACTGGGAACCAGATTTTCTTCTTGGAACGGGGAAGGGTGCTCCGTGACTTCAAAACTGGTTGAGCACCCCCCTTTTGAAGGCCAGAGTATGGGAAGAAGAATGGTCGAGGTTTCTCGGATCCCCAGGTGCCAAAGGCCCGGGTGAAAGGGCATGAGTATTAGGATGGTGGGAGAAGGAAGAAGATATTTTACTGCCGAGGAGAGTTGTGTGGTTTAAATACTAAACCAGGACTTCTTAGTTAGGTAGGTACGCCTGGAAAGGAAAGCGCGATCGATCTATGGCATTGGACTTTGGGCGGTACATATACATGTCACGTATCAAACACGACTTATGACTTATGACAGGTACTTCGTAATATACATAGCCTAGAACTATAAGATTGATACAAGTCGAGAGGTTTTAGCGTTTCTTTGATTCAAGAGCCTTTATAGACTTACAAGCTCGCTTGTTAAAGGTCTTTGGGATCTAAAATTTAAGAAAAATCCGAAAATATTACCTTGATTTGGGGAACTTGACTGAATTGCATGTAAATAATTATTTCACACAATTGATGTATATCTGTCCCATCTCCTTTCCCGGTGTTTGGAACTCCCGGTCAGTCTTGGTGGTAGTGAACCTAGGCTCAAAGTTTGCCCGTGAAACATCGTCTTTGATCAACCGAGCAAGTCCACTGCGCTATTTCGGACAATTTTAGGGCCCAGGACTGCGGCCAACTCGGCGACGATTCCTTTGATAGACATTGGGGAAGTCATTGACATGGTTTCCCATTTGACCAGATCCTAGTTGGATTTAGTAAAGACGTTCATCTCGCTCAAGGGGGTTCGAAATAAAGATAAATACGTACCTTCATGTGAACAAAGTTGTTGTTGAAGAACAGCAGCCAATGATCCAGATCCAGTGCTTCCACTTGGGGGACAGTAAGAACACCAGGCATACCGATATCAAAGAGGGAAACCTCCTCTAGATCGGCATCACTTTCTGGGGCTAGAGGCGTAGGGGAGGATGTTCGATCCCGAGACAAAGAGACATAGGAACGGGAATTAAGCTTCTCCGTCATTTCGCCATCAAGCGGGTCCCAGTCGCATGATTCAGGGTCTAAGTAACAGAGAAAAGGGTCAGATGTCGTGCACGATCTTCACGTAGTACACAAAGTATGTACTAAGACTAAGACACGAGTGGGACCTACCAAGGATGTACTGTGGGCGGAAATTGGCCTTGTAACGCATCTTTTGGCAGGAGTGAATGTAGTACCCTGTATTTCGATTGTTAGACGCGCATGAACACTAGTTCCACGATTGCGACCTACCCATGTAGTAGTACAGATACTGATTCTCGATCGAGAAGGCAATTTCACGCATGGCGCTCAGCTTGCCGATTTCCCATTGTTCGTAGGCGGGATCGTAGCTGTGTGGTACCGAATATCAGCTTATCACATACTTTGGTGTTTCAAAGTACAGTCAGCCATCAGCTTACAAGACATAGACGGAGCTAACGCCGTTTGGGACCAGGTCCAACACCGCAACAGCAATGAGTTCGCCATCAAGACGATAGCATTGATGCCATGAACCAAGTTTCTTCTCGGAAGCGTTGGTGGCTGTTACGGGATTCGGAGTTCGCTTGAGGCCTGTGCATAAGAAGCGTTGAAAGTCCTTGGGTTTCCAGTGAGAGACATCCTCTTTATGGATGGCCGTTTGGTACTTGAGGAACACCTCAAACTTTGCCTGAGACACAGAGTCACCTTCAATGGTGACTTCGAAGCGGTGCGCTGGTTCAATGGGAAGCTTGGTAGCAGGGTCAACGGGCCGTTTGATGTGGTCGTACTCGCTCTGGTGGACAGCTGATAGAAGGTCGAAGTTGCACTTGCGGTACTTTTTCTCTCTATGCGTTGATTAGCAATAATCTGATATCAAAATTGACAAACATAGGATTGCATACTCGCGGGTTTGCGGGCAAAGCCGGGCTGCCTTTCGCATATACTCCGGACCTAGGATGAATTTGTTCCATTTGTTGATGGCCTTGCGCTGATCCCGGCGGGGCCGATAAGCGGATGCCTCTAGCCTCAGGGTGTAGTGAGGACAACAAGACCGAAGCAGGTTCTGTTTGTAGTAGAGGTTTCCCGATCTGAGGATGTCAGTATGGTCTGATGGGTTACAGGGAAATTAAACCCCCGCGGAGGGGGGGGGGGGGGGGGGGGGGGGGGGAGAAGTCATACCGTCGCCAGCCGCCATTGATCAGCTCTTCATAATGTTCCGGGAGTACAGACGTGGAGCTGGTGTAGTACGATGCACCTTTTACGTGTCAATATCCCTGCCTAATCTTTCTAGCCCTGAAAGAAGAAAAAGGACGAAACAAAGCAGGGGTAGGGGCAACAAACTTCCGTCTTTGGACTTGCAGTAACCACACGAGTTCTTTTGGTAACCTGAGATGATCACATCACATTAGTTTTTGCATAAGAGGGGTTGAACGATCAAAGAGATGCAGGCATTGACGTTGACACCCCCGCCAATTTCCCCTAAGTGGTAGCGGCCCTGGGCCAGTGGAAGCGCCACGGGGTAACAGAGGTCTATCTCAGTGGTTCCCTGCGGGAGAGTGGGACGTACCTAGTGGGCGGAATAGCGACAGCTTTCGCGCGCGTTCGGCGTCAACCTGTTGCATCTTTAGATTGGATATGTGTTGGCGTGCATCGGCGAGTGGATGTGAGTCGTAGTATCGGGAGA